GTGTGTGTGTGTGTGTGTGTGTGTAGTGTGTGTGTGTGTGTGTGTGTGTGTGTGTGTGTGTGTGTGTGTGTATAAATATATATATATATGTATATATATGTATATATATAATATATATATATATATATATATATATCATGAGCACTTGCAGGAGAAACAGTACGCTGAAACACCTTGTTGGGCTTATGTTGGCCTGTATGTAAAAAAACTTAAAATATATTGTATACATAAGATATAAAAGCAAACAGGCACAGAACTGTGAGCTTTTGGTACCCGACGCAAACCCTAAAATCAATAGTTGATCACAGGTGCTAAAAAATACAAGAGTTAACTAGCATTCCTAGGTATGCTTAGATGTGCAGAAATCTCACGTAAATTCAGTTTAGTATTCGGACAACAAACATATTGATACTCTAACCTATGCTGCGCAATAAGATCCAATTCTAGTGCAAATCGTGGATGTGCAAATCGTGGACCCCTTCACGCCTATGCGTTATTGAGAGGCATACTATATAGCACCTCTATTGAACAATTTGCCAACCAACCAACTTAAACACATACCGTTGCATATGACTCCATATGGTCTCTGCTTTCGTTGCCTGACATGTTGCAACAACCCGCTGTTGGGAGCTATGTGTTTGAGTCCGATTGTAGCATCACGCTCTGTATATCAGAGAGGATTTTCTAATATATCATAGATACTATATGTGTGTTATTTGGCTGTAATATAGGCTTCGCAAAAGTTTAAATCGGTCAACCATAAGAGAAGCTTCGTGGATGTTGGAACCTGAAGCCTCCCCTGTCGATATCTCAAATGTTGGCCTATAGAGCTCCATCAAGTTAACAACCCTTTTCGCACTCGAGCATCTCACAACAATAAATATAGTATATCAAGTTGTTGGTGGAGATATGGGATCGATGAATATATCTGTATCCAACGGCTGCCACGACAACAACCAGCATCTATTGTTAAAAACAAGCGTTAAACCAGAGATTCCACGATACATCTTTTTATAAATACATATTTTTATGTATTTACTTCCATAGTATAATGTCGAGACCGGTTTGCGTTCAATGAGTGGTGACCTGGCCTCGGTCACACACGTAAGTCTATCACTGAGTGGATCAGGCAGAGCCGCAGAGGCAGAGGCTCTCGGCTATTGCTGTACCCGCCGGTTCGAGGTGGGTTCTTACAAAAATTTAAAAATAAATACAAAATAATTTCAAATGTCTTCACAAAAGTTCGAAGACTCGAAGACTCGAAGTGACAACGCGCCTCGGCGTATTTATTTTATCATGATGAATTTCGTAGCCTTTTCAGAAGGCTATGTGAATTGTTTTTTTTTTTAAATTAATTATTTTTATTATATGAAGAATTGGGGGAAAATAAATATTATGGGCCTTCTGTTGAAGTGGTGATCAGTTTCTGTATCTCTCTTGGAGTTGGGACTCAGTTGGGACTGTTTGGGAGTTGGCAATTGGGAGACCGGGAGCGAGTTTACTGTAGGTAACCCCTTAGGTTGGCCATACTTTTACAGGTTTAACGGGTTCCCTTCGTTTTCACCAAATAAAAAACTACGCGGTGTTGCTGGTTGTTGATGAGAGTCTGCAAGACTCTTTGAGGGGTCTGACGACGCGGGGTGTGCAGAATGTTTACTCCTCGCCCGGGGATTCCAAAGGCGGCCCTAAGGAAAGTCAACAAATAGTCAGACATTTCTGAGTGTGAAAAGAATCTTCAGATCCAATATTTCAAGTGTATTTGGATCACTAGGAAATGGTAAACAACAAAACTCTATATTCTAAAAAAAAATTAACATGTTTTAAAGTATGTAAAACGCAATATTAGTTCATACAAATTGTTAATAAAAACTTGTATACACAAATTTGAAGAGGAAATAAGGTGACGTATTTCATGTCGCAAATCCTAAAAAAAAAAAGCCATCGCCTACCATCCTGGATGCAATTTCAAACGGCTGGAGAGAACTGCGGACTGTGCTGATTTTGAATATTTACATCTATCTGCAGTAAATATTTATGTTCTATTTACCTACAAATTGCAATCCCTGCATAATTTTCGTCGGCACCAACATATATACATGACGCCACCAGGAATGGCTAAATATGTGACAAATGATAGTATTTGAGATAAATATAAATACAATAGAATCTACAGAGATAGCCAAGCATGAAAGATATCACTCTGCTGGGGGGGGTTGTGGGCGGGGGCGCATACATTTATATGTTCGGGTAGATGTTGTGCGCCTATCATATTGCTGATGTAGGTACTGCGAGGTGATTATATTATTGCCCAGCATACAGATGCGAACTGTTGTATTCTAAAATCTACTAAGATTATAAATAAAAATTGTTTATTTTCTTTCTCTTTGCAAAAATCGCTAGGATCACATTTGAACGCTATTTAAGGTTTGACCTTGGGTTCTACGAAGGTTCTAACGGGTATAAATATGAAATTTCGAGCCGCCTTGAAATTTCCCAATAACGAAAGAGTTTTTTTTTCTAAGTCTTTACTGAAATTATATATGGGCATAAACACAGGCTTATCTTCACCAATAGCTTTCATAAGGTCATGCTAAGGATTATCAGCGGACTTTATCTGATATCTACCGGAGTGATTGCGGACTACAGCTAGTAAGGTGGCAACTTTTAGTGCACTTTTCCACTAATTCTGCCCAGTAACAATGCGTGCTTCCCGCAATTTGTATTTCAGTGTCTGTCATTTGTATATTATATTGACAATTCATCCTATAAACTACTACGTAGTTGATAAATCATATCTTGTCGCTACCTGCATTCAAGTATAACAGAATACTTCATCCAAGGAAAGATATCACAATATTCAAGACACAAGGTTGCGATGAAGAAATTAAAACAAGGTTTGGTAGTACTCACGAGTGTAGTGTGCTCTACTTCAGAATGCATCAGTTTCCCTGTCGACCTGAAGCACATTTTAGCTATGTTTGTCTAATTAAAAATGTGATCGTGATCGAACGTTCTTGCAGAATTGGCGTCAATAGCAACCGATGTGTAGTACGATATATTTTAGCTTTAAAATCGTTGCTACAACTTATTTCTGTCAAAACGCGAAAAGTTTTAAGCTGCTCCCATCTTGGATCGTGCTAAACTGATGCTTATTTTCATGTTTGTTGTCGGCTATTCTTGTGCATTCACTAAATACTACATATTCACCATAAAGTAAATAGTTGTAACTGTAAATAGTATCATTGCTTGCTGAATCCCAAGCTGTATTTCCAGGTACTTCTCTACGGTGCTGTGCACTTACCAACATCTTGGCAATAATGGAAAAGAAGGCATAGATTGTGATATTTCTACTCAGGAAAGTTGTCCCGCTCTTCTCCCGGGTAGGTCAAAATGTATACAAGCCATTCGCTCACCTGATGTGCTCGGTCGTAGCTCGCGTGCTCGATCGTAAATATTTTAAAAACAGCGTGTGCGGTCCGATATTAATAATGATATTTTAAAAATCAAGATGTTGTGTCGCTGACTACTCGCTATGTAGATAGAAAAAGTATTTGAAGTATCGACGCTTGTGGCAGTACACTGGGCATTCCTATCGAACTCTCGAACCTATTTTACTAATTTTAGAGAATGCATAACGTGTGTTATAGCTTTTTGAGGTCGTGGCCTTTTTTAGGCTTTTTAGAATTGTATACCACTTGCGGCCGCTTTTAAAATACTAGCCGGTTCTGTGGGGCCTCAGCCCTCAGCCCTCAGGCCTGTGGCCTCACTTGTTGGGGCGTGGACTCCGTGGAGCCGTGGACTGGGGGGCTGTAGGGAGTGTAGACTGCCGCTGAGGGCTGAGGGCTCAGAGCCCCAGGGCTCAGCGCCTCAGGGCTCAGAGGACAGAGGCTCAGGAGCTCAGTATCCTCTCTCTAGAGGCTCTCAGGCCTCAGCCTCAGCAGCCAGCCCTCAGGAGTCAGGACTGAGGGCTGTTGTGCGCTCATGTATGTACGTATGCGCTGTGCGGCCTGTGTCGCTGTGCCGCTGTGGCCAGTGGACCTAAATTTTGCCTAACGGAAACGTCAAATAACACCCAATCGTATCGAATACCGCCTCTGTTTTCCGATGAATTTAGACAGATGGTATATATATATGACCAATGGGATTCAATGGTTTGCTCAAGTACAAGTGTTCTAAAAGTGCTTTCCTCCCTGTGAATACCCCAGAGAGGTCAGTGTATGCCTTGTTCACGAATCACGATCCACGGTGGGGATGGTACCATACGAAGAGACCTAAAAAGAGTATATTCCACAATATCCCCAATTCCACATACATATCCTACTACGGCTACCTGTGACAAAGAAGTTATTTTGATATAGAAAAAAATTCGTTGTCAAAGGAAAGTCTGTTCGGAGTGTTCTCTGAAAAATAGAATAGTGTTCATCAGTGATCCACTGATCGCTGATTCACTGATCGATCACAGGCTGTTCACTCACATAGTCTCAGAGACTGTGTGATTGGTGAGATGATTTTTATCTTCCTTGACAGTTTATTTTAATATAGACAGTATCCAAATCAGCTTGACCATACATATAACGAAAGTGTAATACTGTGTAGCAAGTGAATGAACAACCAGCCAGGTGGTGTTGCCGGATAGACTTGTATTGCCTGAACACAAAGAAGCTATCAGCAGGCATGACACACACCCAGACACAGGCACACAGCCACATTCGATCGCAAGGCTCATGTTCACATACTTTTCTCAGAAAAGGCGAACATGAACGAGCCAGATTGCATTCACCGCAACCACTAAAACGTACGCGCATGCAGGAAAAAAGCGATTATGAGCCACCACGTCGGCTGAGTCTCAACACCATCATACACGATATGAATAAGTACATCGACACACCGATTATGAGAAGGCATCTTGCCTGGAATGTGAAGGAGACTATCATGCCTGAGCAATTTTACACGCGATGTTTTAACACATCACACTGTTCGCTCGTTAGTGGCGCTGCAGCACTCATATTGGGCCACGTGACTCTGGGGATTATGTGTCTGTTTGTGTGGTTAACCTCTGTGAACTACTGGAGGTACCCCTGTGTGGGCTTTCGGCGTACAATCGACATCGTCACTGTACAAGCTACCTTGTGGACACACATCTACAAAGCCATGTCTGTGGCTGCGTATCAGCACTTGTATATGGCAACGGTTGCGGTAGGTATGCTGTGCTATGGTCGCGCAAGGTACCATCATTTCCGAGGAGATCATGACAACGATACGAAATGGCATTGCACGATGCACCTGATAGGGAATGCAAGTAATGTCATACTGTACGTGGGGCTATTGACCACGTGACGTTTTAGTCTTATAGCACAGTAATTTATATATATATATATATACATAAATACATATATATATATATATATATATATATATATTGTGTATGCGTGTCTTGTTCTGTATTGACATACATATACCGTAAGTCGAATGATGCTCTGAGCATATACAACTATTCAACTCGCCATGGAATGCTATAGAGGTACAGATACTTCAACTGAAGTACGAAGTGACTTTGCATATCCCAGAACATACTGGCTGCGTAGTTGGTGCCGGTGTATACTCAACTGAAATATGTCAGACGTTGGTATGTTAATCACGTACCTATTGACATTGTATGTCACGTACGCTACCCATAACCACTATAAGACTATAATAGTTGCGCATATAGTGGTGCACTATATGGACAATCACTGGATATAACAACAAAAATGTAGGCACGATGATGTCATTTACAGAGTAGTTTTGAGATTGATGTGGCGATATGTGCGGTATGTAACTGATATCAAGCGACGAAGGTGTCACTCTTTTGGCGACGACAAGTGCAGATAGTGCCTAACAAATACCTCTCATACGCCCAACTCAGCACAGCAGAGTAAATAAGCACAAAGGCGCGTACGTACGATATCCGTAGGCCAGGAACATGGCTGTAGAACTGAGATAGATGCGGTGTGATGCGCAGCTTGTACATACGCGCATGATGTGTGCCGTATTGACGTTCATGTGTACACAGACAGTACGACATCAACATATCCGACGAAGCAGCTCGACTCCAGGGGCGCAAGGGGAGATGAACAAAATAGAAGAATCCGACATTCCAATACCATATAACCGATTCAAAGCGGTAATAAAGTGTTCGACTTGCACATGGCCTGTCTGTACACGTGCAAGTGGTCCATAAACGCTGCTTCATCCCAAGTTACTGTTCAATTTAGACTGCACAAATGCATGTATATCATTTTTAGAAACGAGTTGTATATATTCTCACACTGGAGGTGTCCCATACTTGTAGAACAGAACACACTTATATATAAAGTTATGAACGCACGCATGTAAATTCACTAGAAGTTCACTTTAACAAAAATGCTGGATTGTCATACGTCCAGATTAGATTTGAAAAATCTGAGGCAATTTTTTCAAGTTTTGTACACACGCCGGTTGCGAGTATATGCGCGTAAGCAAGTGTTATTATGAGAGTTCATCACGTGTCACCAGATAACAGAAGGAGCAAGACTATTTTGCCCAACAACTTCCTACATGATCAGAATAAGCGAAACCTTGAGTGCAGAGGCCATGCATGATAGCTTTGGTCCGTAAATCCCGTACATATGCTCATTGTGATCCTCAGATATAGATGTACCGATGTGTCTCATTTTGATACCTCATTCATTACGTTCTGCACGGCTTGATGCAGACTTATTGCTCACAACAACCATGTAAGTACCCTCCCAGCTGAAGAGTAGAAGGACACATCTTGTGTTGGCATATGTCAGAAATATCTGTTTCCTCGCCTTTCTAGGCGCTCTTTTATTCACCACATGGGTTCCCCTCGACGGGTTATAGTCATAGCTGCAATGGCGAGAGTCACTTCAAAACTCGGTCAAAATTCATCACCGCTGGTCACTGCGAAGCAATAATCAGGATCAAAAGCACCCGAATTAGAAGTCTCCTGTCTGATTCATAAAACTTAAAGTTCTATCCCCGATTTAGGTCTGGAATCGACCTCGATTGTATTTCAGGGCAGCTGACTATGAGTTTACTATGCGCGAGGGACTTCCGCTGGCATCTACATTCATTTATTCCCTATCTTCCGCGTTGCTAATAATTATCATCGGTATCCCTCCATCCTTACACGTCCTGTCACGCCCCCGGCAAGTAGCCAAACCTATCCACCCAATGGAAGGCCTCGAACACAACCTCCACCATAATCAGCCCTATTATAGCCAGTTCCGTGTGCAGCGCGTGCTTCTGCGCCACGTATCCGCGTAGGATCTCCGCTAACTCGTTGCTGTATGTTAGCTTCTCATTGAGCACGCTCGTGCGGTCGTGGATGTCCAATTGAGACCGCATGCGCAGATAAAGCAGCTCCATTTCTGCGCGGGTGTGTGTGATGTTTAAATGTATCAGAGGATACAACGGCTCTGTTTCCCACACACCTCACAATGCACAAAAGAATGCTTTATCATTCATAAGTATAGGTATAGGTAGTCTGAATCCCACACACCATACAACGCACAATAACATACATATACATCCATACACAAAAGAGTAAAGGTATAAGTAGTAAATTATCCGTACCTCACACACCTTACCATGAACGATAACATATACATTCATTCACACACGTGTGTATAGAGTGACATATAGGCACACGTAAGTATAGATATAGGTAGAAAACACATCTTACCATGAACTATAACAGATACATTCATAAACACAAGTGTGTATACAGTGAAAAATAGTCACATGAGTATAGGAATAGATAGGTAGTAGATTATCCGTATCGCACACACCTTACCATGAATATCCAACACACCTTGCATTGCACAAAAACACATGCATCCATACACACGTGTTTTTACAGTCACATATAGGCACATAAAAGTAAGTATAGGTAGTAAATTGTCTGCATCCCACAACCTTACAATACACAAAAACATATGCATACATAAACACAGGCGTGTATACAGTCACATAATGGCATCCACGTATAGGTAGAGATAACAAATTCTGCGTATCTCACACACCTGGACGATCCCAATAGACATCGGCTGGCGTTCTCAAACTCGAACTTAAATTGATGTCGTGACGAAGGGACTGTAGCTCGCCCGTCGTGCGTAGCATCTGTTTCATTCCCACAATCAATCCTTTGCCAAGCTGTGATTCGTATACCGAAGTGTGGTGATGTTATTTGAGGCTGCATAAGGGGCAGATGCAGAGATCTGTGCCTTGGCTATATAGGAGCCTATCGAGTTATAGAGAGTGCGTGGACGATCTAATTGTATGGGTGTTGGGATACTAAGAAGCTGATACAGTCACGTAAACCGGGCAGGGACATACAACTAACTTGTTTGGCATACATACTCTAGTCAGGAATCAACATACACCACAGCTCTAACACTATATTTCATATTCGTATCAGACCAGACGACACGTAAAATTCTATCATTCAAATAGACACAGAGGGTCAGTCATGACCCAGATACGATGTGCTGTATGCAAACATGGCAGCCACGAATGGGCATTCATATGGCTAATTGAGAGATAGAACGAAAAGTACTTGTAAAGACGATGTCAAAAGCAGGTGTGAATCTGGGTGTGGAGATGAGGTTAGTCTGAACAACTATAGTATATGTATGGATGGTCGTACTTATTAAAAAACAATATTATACGATGAAAGTTGTGCTCGAAACCCTGTACTTGGCATGTCCACGTGTTTACATACATACACGCATCAATTCATCCATACTTGTATATATAAATACTTGTAAATACACATAAACATACTCAAATGTATTAATTTCTACATAAATGGCTGTGTAGATAAACAAACATAGATATACGTTTGTGTACAAGTATGCATGTGAAAACAGTGCCGATTACGCGCACATCTTGCTGACATACCTTCATAGCACGGGAGATTGAGCGCATATTCTCCATGTACTCCTGAGAACGTTAGGGATGGGGTCCAGGTTTAAGGTGTCAGGGTTCAGGGGTTTGGAATGTAGGGATTCATGCGCAAATGTGCAAGACTGGGTCGATGGGTGAATACGAAGGATACAGTAAAGTGATGCGTTATTGGTTCTTGAAATTGCACAAGTGTGGATCAGGAGTATAGCTAAGCAAGTACTCGACACCGCAGTTCCAGAGATATTCAGTGCCAGGGAAAGCTGTACGTGCGAGAAGAACTTCAGAGAATGTCCAAACTGACGAGGCTCTAAGTGACATACAAATGTCTGCATATAGCTCTGATTAACATAACTGATGTGTGTATGTATGTATTTCACACAGGCACCCATGCAATTGTGGCGGTACATGAACATAACAGAGAAATCCAACAGAGGCACCTGACTCTATAAGCATATGTTATGTCATAAACGCGCACATATATTCATAATGTACCTGAACAATCACAACGATGGCTACAAATTAAATATGTTCGCTTCATACGCCTTTTGATCCACAGATGTATATGTAGTCAATGTTACACACGTGAACTATATTTTTAGTGGAAAGACATTCACTTTCCAGGCATGTACGTACAGTGCATCACTGATACATAGTTGTGGAACGAGAACACAAGAACATGTAAAGGACACTAAAACTATGTGTATCAAGAACACGTAAAGGAGACAATAAATTGATATCGCATACAACTCAGGATGTTACTGAATGGTAGATCTGTGACGACACAAGAAACCTAACCGGAGTGTAATGTATGGTTTGGTAGCTTGAATATCTACATAGTTTTACAGCAGTACATCTATTCACCGATTATTGCACACGGTCTGTTTGAACTTACATCTTGTTGATCTTCCCAGACATCGAGTTTCACACTAAGAGCGAGGGCATCAGCTATGGCATATTGTTCTTGAAGATGGGTTGCGAAGTCCAAGTTCTCGTCGAAAAGGACATCTGATCCCTTAAGTCTGCAATAGGACCGAAAGAAACACGGATTATCAGGAATGACTACATAGAGCATGGTGTAGCTAGCAATAAGATGAGATATAATCCAGATGTAACGGGTCATTAACAGGTCTATATGCCCTTTATTCCTAAACTAGTACGTGAAATATAATATGCGACTGTGCGTTTCCTGACCATTTTGGTTCGCACACGCACATACACCACTGGAATAAATGCACTCGTGGATCAGTTCACATCTCTCCAACACTAACAGCCTGCTACTCATGGTCATGTGAAGACGCACGAAGTCGACTACACGAACAGAGTCCTGAGAGCTAATCGATTATATAAGTCTCATCAACTGAACAATGACGGATCAAATTCAGCTATAAGACACCACAAATACGCATCCGGTGTACCAAAATCAACCACGCTCCGCATCAACCTGATGGAAGTGTGCATTCGTAATTTCTACCAAGAAGATACAGAACCACTTAAACGCAATAGACTCACTTTGTCTTACGGTTAGCATAGCCGTACGGCACAAACTCCTCCGTTGCCACTGCCAGCGGAAGCGTCTGTGCACGGGAACGAAGAATCTGTATGCGCTCCAACTCGGCTGGGTTGACGTTAAAGGTGACCGTACTGCCCCTTCGAAAAAGAAACACACGCGCTCTCCAAGCCAGTTCTATGTCATCCTCGTCAATCTGAAGGCGAGAAGTATCAGAGTGTAATGGAGTGTATGGTTATGGCTGGGTCAGGATTGCAGGGAGTTGGATGTACTTAAATTTGACTATGAATTGTTCTAACACCCACAACAAACCTATCAGACATACGTTTCTCACACGCGGGCAATGATGGCAAACCATCTTGAAGTGTAAATACAAACATAGACATACAAACATAGAAATACATACAGTATTGCCAGACCGTACCTCATCAAGGCTGCTGTAGAGATAACGAATAATTCGCACAAACTAAAATGTATTTGAACTTTTGTGTTTGAGCTACGCCATCAGCACGCACCTTTTCACAGCCACTGCGAGGTAGGGACACGCACAGCGCATTCTTGGGATCGATCTCTGCAGGTAAGGGCTCAATTGTGTACCTGAAATAAGTGCAAAGAACGAATTCAGATAGCAACACATGCGAGAGAATACTGAAAAGGTGACTCAATGGCTATGTACGTGGATAATGAGTTCTGAACGATGAGAATAGTTTGCCAGGCGAATTTCCGGCATGCGATCCCCCCCCCCCAAAAAAAGATAAGCTACATATACATCTCAATAAAAAATATAGGGAGGGGAAACGATATGGCCGGCGCTACTGTTCCAGATGAATATACGGACAATCAACAATAGTCTAAATTAAACACAAGCAGCACATTGTGAGATGTATAAATGAAGATATTGTGCACAGTCCTGTTGATCTCGATGCGTGTGTACTGGTGTGTGCGCTTTAGTACACCGGTGCGAGTGCTCTGTGCGAGGCCTAAAATCCGTATATTTGATCACACGTAGCATAACATATCACTATTACGATGCTTAAGAATACGAAAATCAAATATGCGAGCCACAAAAATATGGATTCAGCCCATATCACGCTATACCGTACTCCTTGGTACACACTATCGACCTACAACTGCCGTACAACAAAGCGATACACGCTGCGTGCAAGCGCTTGGAGAACTGTTACGAATGAAGCACTTAACAACGAGTGCACGTTGAGCTAGACACACACTACACAGCCCACGTTGGCACATACTCTCGACCTAGAATCTTGCGAAGTGCAAGTATATCGTAGTTCTCGGCTGTACAAAACGCTCGGCATTCGTAGGTCTGTGTCGATCAAAAGCGTCGAGAAGAAGAGCCAGATAGCCATCAATGAGAGTGCGAAGATGCACTACGAACAAATTAAAAGGGAGATAGAACTTATTCGAAGGACAAGAAATGTTATCCTATTAGATGCGGTATTGAAGAATCTTAAACAGTTTCTTGTCATTTTCAAATGCACCAATTAAACATACAGCCCAA